AGTAGGAGGATAGCAAATTCTTGATTAGCCTATGTGAAATTGCGGCGGTATAACCGCACTGAACAGCTACTTGCATTATTCTGTGGTTCAGCAGTTGTGCGGTGCGGTTGCACATGCCGCAATTTCACGACGCCTAATCCAGCTGTTTGCTACCCTCCTACTTCCCATACTCTCTACTCCCAGTCGCTGGTGAACGCTGGTGGACGCTGGTAGACGCTGGTGGACGCTGGCAGACGCTAGATAAATATCTATCTCTTTCCTAGTCGCTGACGCTGCCGGACGCTTGGAATGCTAGTGGTTGGTGGTGGGCGCTGCCACAAACTATGGTAGCAGCCATAGGCCTCCCTTCTTGCCCTTGTAGTCCGGTGGGTATCCGCAGAAGTTGTTCTTTTTTTCGCGGCTTCAGAACGAGTGACGAGAGCATTGTGACGATCTGACAAATTGCAGTTATATACGATATACAGCACAATGCACCGTATACAACTGCCCTAACTGCGCCTCGGCTGGGACTTTTAAGTAGTTGAAAAGAGCTGGGGAATGCGATAAAAGGCCTCACTTCTAGTCAGCCACTTCAGCTTCACTGGCTCATTCATTGATGTGGTACCATATGGGAAGATCCCATTGCCACCTAAAAGCACTTAATTTAACTAAAAAGTTCTGAACCGAATGCTCATGAAGGCCACTCACTTATAAGGCGGGGATCGATATTTTTCCAACTCGTGCGCTTTTGGATTCTGTTTATAACGCTCTTGAAAAATTACAAAGGTGGTGGAATTGACAGTTTCCACCGTTACTAACGGGTAGCCCATCTAAAATGAAAGTGGGACAGTGAATTGGAAAAAAGGTTACTGCAGAGCAACATAAACCTAAAGAATCATCGGGATTGCAGTTCCTGGACATTGGGTGTCGAGAAAACAAAAAACGGCTCGAGGGAACCCCTCGCTTGCTCCCACCGGTGATGCCCCTGTGAGGAACAGTAAACCTCTGTAAAGGTATATAACAGCACGAATGTCTTTGGGCTACGTTCATACTTCGCGGCTTTCAAGAGTCCGTCAGCGACTGGGAAAGTGTGGATATAGATGCGGCGTCTGTCAGCGTCCACCAACGACCAGGAGTAATGGCATGGGAAAGTAGCAGAGTGGCAGACTGCTGGTAGAGTATGAGGAAGTAGGAGGCAAGAGGCGGCTGGATTAGGCGGCGTGACAAGTGGTACTACTCAATACTGCACTCCTGTTCGCTAGTGGACGCTGGTAGACGCTCGACGAAATCCCATACTTCCTAATTCCGATCGAGATCTCATGGTCGCTAGTGGACGGTGGTAGACGCTGTCATTCGCGAGAAAGATAGATATCTATACTTTCTTAGACGCTGACGGACGCTCGAAAAGCTGACGATCGCTGGCGGACGGTGCTGCAAGGTATGAACGCAGCCTTACACTTGACTACAGTCTACAGGTCATATGAGAGTAAAGCAGGTAATTTAACGAAAGAAATGTGCAGAGTGCGTCCCCCCTAGGCCAAACAGCACCTAAAAATCTTTGTGTGACTTGAGGGGCCTCGAAACCCTCAAAATTATGATTTTTTTTTTGCTCAACTAGAATAATATTACCTGTCTTGCCCACTGGTCTGCAAATAGTTTTGTATTCAGACGCCCCCCTTTGGGTCCTTTGATTCGCGACCCGACAGAATCCAAGTTCTTCCCACAGATCTTCAGTATCCACGTTGGAATACGCAAACTTTCGGAGATAGTTCTGAAACTGACACCATAAAATTCAGACCCCCACACCCACTCGACGGCAAAGCGTTAGGAATACCTCAGGGAGTTTTGGAAAGATAGTATGGCACTCCATGGTAAGGACATTATTCCACTTAGACTGTGTACATGCTTTGCGGCAGCGTCCATCAGCATCGATCAGCGTCCAGTAGTAGGGAGAGTGTGGAATCAGGAGGGTGGCAAACAGCTTGATTAGACTGAAATCGCGGGCGTTGCCTGATACCGCACAATGCTAAAGCCACAAAGTATGCCGATTTCGTTTACGGGAGAGTACGGTGCGGTGTGCGGTTGCACGCACCGCAACGACGCCTGATCCACCTAATTTCTACCTTCCTACTTCCCCATTCTCTTTACTCCCGGCACTGGTGGACGCTGGTAGACGCTGGCAGACGCTAAATCGATACCTACACCCCCTAGCCCTCGAAACGCTGGCAGACGCTAGATCGATATCTACACTTGCGTATTCGGGTCCACCAGCGAGCACTAGACGCCTGCAACGCTAGTGATCACTGGTGAACGCTGTAGACGCTAGTGGACGCTGCCGCAAAAGGTATAAGACGTAGCCGTAGCTCTCATTGGCTTGTCATTATTGGCACCTGCACATGACGACCCCCTCTCCTATCGCAGTTACAACGATTCCACGAGCAATAGCTCTGACCCGATCCCCGCACGTTCAAGTTCAGCGGTTCTGGAGGGTACAGGACAAGATCCAATGCCCAGTGTGGACGATCAGAGTTAGACCACAGAGCTGGAATCAACGCCGTGGAACTCACTAAGTACAATGAGAGAACGCGGTGGCTGGGTGTTGCAGGTGTGAACTTACTGTTTACCTTAACTCCCTTGTAGAAGTTATCCTCCCATTACTGCCATCAACATTGCCAGTAAAGAAGCTCCTTTCTTATACGTTATAGTATTGAACGCTTCTGAGATTTCTTCCATTCGATCTATTGTAGGGATCAGCGGAATACTTGAAGCTAATGAATCCGCCTCAAAGGCCGATTCCATGGTGTCGACGACGAAGAAATCTTTCTGTAAAGAGGGCATTATGATAGAAGCGCTATTCAGCTGGACCCACACTTACCGCGTTCATGACACCATGAGTAATGCCATCGACAGCAATGTGTTCCATGAGAACTGCGAAACCCTCGTTTAACCACAGATCGTCCCACCATTTCATTGTGACCAAATTTCCGAACCACTGCAAAACTTGTATCGAATTCATGTTTTCTTGTAAGATAAAGTAGAAAATGACGGCATTGCAAGTAAAACCCGCAAAGCATGAAGGTAAAAAGCTTTCTAATAAGGGCAGAGAGGGGGTGGGGGTGTAGTGGCACCTAACGCAGCTTACCCGTCATTCTTGGAAGAGGCCTCAACGCTTAGAGGGAGCAAACGTTCAAGTTTGCCGAGCCTACAGTCTTGTTCGCTGACACCGATGAGCTTGACAGTGAAGCTGGGTTTGGCGTGCTGCCAGCCCGCTCCCCACCAGTAGTTGAACCGGCTGGTGGAAAACGACTTATGCGAACAATATTACGCAAACTTGTAGCCTGCCAAAAGAGAAATAAACGGGCTAGCGCCGCGTCAACCTCCCCCTCTCTGGACACTCCTCATCATCTGCGCCAAGCAGAGCTGTAAGTTGGAAGCGAAGGGAAGAAAAAACGCCCCTGTAACTACACATCCCATACCATCCTCGCGTCCCGAAAGCTTGGGAATATTTTACTTATAACTCTACAACACGGACATCGGGTGCGATGGTGTAGCAAAGAATGATCCCTATATCACTCATGCGGTCCAAGGATCAGCTCCTGCCCAGGTTAACCGCGCCTTCCACCATCTGAAGCTTGTAAATTGGCAATAGACCTGTCTGGAAGCACAATAAAACTGTTTCACACACGGACAGCCCCTCCTTCCCGAGTCACTCAAATCATTGTTCAGGCCGCATCGCACCCTATGAGTAGAATAACTTTCAGGCGCAGCTCGGCCATAGTTGGGAGAGGGGGGGCGCATTTTGCACTTTCGCTGCTTCACTGGTTCCCGTTTACAAGTCTCGTTCTGGTGAAACCTGTGAACTCTTGTGAAGCTGGAGCAAGCTCGTCGAGCCCCCAAAGCAAAGGGTATCTGTTTGGTTCTTATCTGGTTTAGCAAACTTGACAGGTTCTATTCTTATCGAGAATTGACAAGTGGCTTTTGAAATCCTTGCCAGGTAACATTTCGAGGCCACAAGATTTCACAGGTCTACAGTCGATGACTCACACGCCGACGGAAGTAGCAGAAGTGCAAAATGCCCCACCCCTCCCCCCCCCCCTCCTCCGTCGCCGAACCGTCCATATGGCCTACCTGATGAGCTATTTCATGCGCCACGAC